TAGAGACGGGGTTTCACCATGTTGACCAGGATGGTCTCGATCTCTTGACCTCTTGATCCACCCGCCTCGGCCTCCCAAAGTGCTGGGATTACAGGTGTGAGCCACCGCGCCCGGTCTTCTTGTGGGTCTTTAACTTTGTGTGCCAAATAACTCAGCCTCGGCATACGGTCCTGGGCAGCAGTCATTCTCCCGACTGTGAAGTTATGCTCTGGGAGGGCAGTCATCAGTTAAGAGGCTTTCAGTTGCAAGTAAGAAAAAGCCCAATCCAGAGCGGCATAATCAATAAGGGGAATTATTGGCTTGCATGGCTGAGGCCTAGCGCAGCAGCACTGCCTGCAGGCAAGACTCAAAACTGTCACTGAGAATCTATTTTCAGCTGGGCATGGTGGCGCATGTCTGTGGTCTGAGCACCTCGGGAGACTGAGGCAAAATGATCCCTTGAGCCCAGGAGTTTGAGGCCAGCCTGGGCAACCCTGTCTCAAAACAAACAAACCAACAATTTTCTGAGGTCTATCCTCTCTGACTTTCTCTGGGAATTGCTTTGGTGTCCCTAAAAGCCTGTCAGAGGCTCTCAGAACAATCAGCTTTCTTGTTCAGGCATAGGAAGAAAGAGAAAGCCTATATTCCAGGATTCCCAACCAAAGTCTCCAGATTCCTGCTGACTGGAGAGGTTCAGGAACACCAGGAACACGCCCCTGTCTAACCAACCGCTGGGGCCGGATGGGGATGGAAGGGGTGGCTGTCACCCACTCTACCCCTGGAGCTGGCCCTGGCCCCCCTATTTACATGGACCTGCCAACCCAAACAGGACCTGGAAGAAGGTAGAAATAGATGTGGGGGAGACACCTCCAAACGTGTCTGCATAGTAGGCACATAATCAATGCACACTGACTGTCAGAGGCCTCCAAGTCCCAGCCCCTCCCATGAGTGGAGTCTGGACTTCTGTTCCTTTGCCACCAGCGTCCCCGCCTCTCACTCCAAATGGTCCCAACACCTCAGCTCCTCAACGGAGTCCTGCCTGTTGTAGACAAACGGGCCTACATATTTGGTTATTTTGGTTTAGAGGAGGGACAAATTCTAGAGCCCCAGGCCGCCAGTGGCTCCCCCGCCCCTCCTTTAGCGAGTACAGGGAGCAGGCCCCAAGTTTCTGCAGAGGTGGCTCCTCCCACACAGGGGTCCCCTGGATCCACGAGGGCTTCCCACCACCACTGACTTCTAGCAGTGGGCACACGGAGCTTTGGAGAACTGAGGCCACGCTGGCCTTTCTCTCTCCCTCTTCCTCCTCCTCCTTTTAAAGGGAAACCTGGAGAACACCCCCTCCCGTCTGTCCCCCCACCTGCCTCCCAAGGCCTCCTGCCCCCCTCTCCACATGCTCAGTGCACTCACTGGCCACAGAGGACAGCGTCCCCAGGCTGCATCCATGGCAACCGGCATGGCAACCAGGAGTTGGTCGTTGGGCTGAGGCCCTGAGCCCCAACTATCAGAAGGCGCCTGAGGCTAAGGTAGCGGCTGGGAGTTTGGGGCTGTGGATAAGTCCTTTTGGGGGTCAGACCTGTGGCGGTGGGCAGGCGCAGACCCTCACCGGGCTCTGGTAGGCTGCGGCAGTGCGGCTTGACCGTGGGCCCCAGGTAGCAGCTGTCTCCTCTGAACGCGGCTACAAAGGGGGTGGGCGGCCCTGAGATCGCAGCTCACCTGGGGCCAGAACGAGCCTTGCAGGTGGCCGGGGAGGAGGGAGGAGGAAAAACACTAATAGAAGTCGAGCGAGCGGCTGAATGCGCCAGGTGCTTTCTATGTATTCTATCCTGCGTTAACTGGAGGGCAGAGGTTAAGTGAGCACCCGCCAGCAGGCTATGAGGGAGGATTTGAAGCTGGGCTGCTCTCAACTCACAGCTCTTGCTTTTACAATCCCTTCCCTGTTTCCTGAGTGGGGGTTGCCAAGGCAGGTGACTCAAAGAGGAAACTATGAGAGTTTGTGGGAGCAGGTGGGGCCATGCATGGACTCAGCTGTCCCCAGAGGCAGCTAACCGCAGAGCTGAGCCCTGCCTTGCCCAGGCAGCTGCCGCTGGCTTTGAGCTGCAGCTGAGGTAATGGTGGTGCCTGTTCTCAGGTGGATCCTCTGAAGGCCATGGAATCCTCCACGGGGTCCAGGATGCCTTTGCTCAAATACTGCAGCGCGGCCACGAGCCTCAAGGCCCCTGGCTGGGACAGTGCTGCTCCACCCTGGGACCTCTCCTTCACCTACCCCGTTGCCCTCCAAGCGCCCTGGCTCACCGGGCACAAGCCCCTTGCAAGGTACCTGTCTCTGCTCCCTTAGGGGAAGTAGGTGCCTCTTTTTCCTTCATTCCTGGCTGTCCGTGGTAAACCCTGGTGGAAACACTTGCTTTCTGAGAAGGCGGAAAGTGGTCTTCACTGTTTGGCCTGTGACTGCCCTATCTGCATTGGGTCTGTCATCCAGCCTCCTCGGTGCTCCCGGAACCCTCCAGGGTTGACGTGGATTTTGTCCCACTTGGAGCAGAGCTGCAGAGGCTGCACTTGGTGTGAGTGAGAGAAGGCAGTTAGGGATGGCCAGTTACCAAGGTTATAGCTCATTTTACCATCAACAATGAGACTTGGCTGGGCGCAGTGGCTCACGCCTGTAAACCCAGCACTTTGGGAGCCCGAAGCAAGCAGATCACTTGATCAGGAGTTTGAGACCAGTCTGACTAACATGGCAAAACCCCGTCTACTAAAAATATAAAAAAATTAGCTAGGCATGGTGGTGCATGCCTGCATTCACAGCTACTTGGGAGGCTGAGGCAGGAGAACCGCTTGAACTCGGGAGGTGGAGGCTGAGGTTGCAGTGAGCTGAGATCACACCACTGTACTTGAGCCTAGGCAACAGAGCTAGACTCCATCTCAAAACAAAGAAACCAATGAGAGTTGCTCTGGCATCATATGAGAAATCAGCTAAGGTGGG